GAGTGGGCCAAAATCCCTGTTGCAGTGTGTGCAAACCTGGTCAAGAACTACAGGAAACGTTTGACCTCTGTAATTGCAAACAAAGGTTTCTGTACCAAATATTAACACTGATTTTCTCAGGTGTTCAAATACTTATGTTCAGCAGTGCAAGACAAATAAATTCTTTAAAAATCATACAATGTGATTTCCTGAATTTTTTTTTAAAATTCTGTCTCTCAGAGTGGGAATGCACCTACAATGTGAATTTCAGACCCCTCCATGATTTCTAAGTGGGAGAACTTGCAAAATCGCAGGGTGTTCAAATACTTCCGTTCCTCACTGTAAATCCAAAGAGTCACTTTAAATTTTCTGGTCAGTTATTAAAAACAAGTCTGAGACAGCAAGACTTATATTCACAAATTTAAAATTTATTATACCAAAGACAGGAACATTTGTGTTGTCTCTTTTTGATGTGGATATATTTTATTTGTATTACTGAACTTGACACAGTCATGCCGGTGGTAACAGTTACTGTAGGAGGGAGGTGGGACTAGTGTGTGTGTGTGTGTGTGTGTGTGCATGCAACGATCTGTCTGTTAGTGTTGATTAGATACAGTGATGACTACAGGACATCATAATCAGAGTGGAGCAAACCATAGCAACTGTGTGTAGTTATACTTCATGGAATGTTGGGTTTCTGGCCTGCAATTGTGTGTGTGTGTGTGTGTGTGTGTGTGTGTGTGTGTGGCTTATATTTGTGGTTCTACATTGTAAGATGTTTGAGGGGGTGACACCTCCACACTTGTCCCCACTACTAAAACCTTCACCGACGAACGGGCAGTTCTTTTAAAAGCATCAGTATATATCATTTCTCTTATTTACAATCATTGGAAAAAAATTTCTCTCAGAGAAGATTAGTAAAAGTGACTGAGTCACCATAAAGAGTATGCAACTCCTAGGAGTTAGTATTTAAAATTTCTACAAAAAATTTCTATGCCATTTTACAGGCCAAGAGCCATGATTTACTGAAGAAATACAGTATTTTAAGTGCCCTATCTACAACAGTTAAACGTGGTATTACAGATGTACCTCTTGACATGATAAAAAGATTGTCTGTTTTTAAAAAGTTCTTTCAGCAACTTCACTGCTTTCACATTAAAAGATATGTTTTTACAAACAAACCAACCAACCGTGGGATCGTTATCAATATTAACAAGTGTTGTAGTGAGCTAATGCTATTGCAAAGAGACTAGTGATTACATATTCAGCTGGTTGTCTAATGTAAAAAGCTCCACAGTCTGTGAGAAGGGCACGACCATGGACACTAGGAGCTGTGTACACAGGCTTTACCAAGAAGGTTGGGTATCATTAAAGGGCTCATTTGCTAGTTTTTTATTCGAGTTGCTTGGGTAAAAAGAAGTGGAACAGGTTACAGTGCATGGTTGTCCAAAGATGAGAACTGGAAGGCTGCTGAGAAAAAGCTGGATGAGACTTTTTCATGTGCATTTTACAGCCTCTTGAGGAAATTGATTTGTTTGTGTTTATATATTGGAAAATCAGAGTGGTTAGGTTGATGTAGGTTTCTGTGCATGCTGTTGCCGTGAGAGAGATGAGGCTGTAGCTGGTGGTATTGCTGTTCAGAGAGGGGTGTCATAGTAGTCTGTGGTCTCCGTCCCAGGTGGCTTCTGCTGTTTCTGCTGATGCTGCTTCATGATTTCCTTCACCTCCGCCTCCAGCTCAGGGGGAATGATGAACTGATCATCTGGGTCAGGCTGGGCTGGCGCTGTGAAATAACCCCCAGATTTCTTTGAAGGGGCGTCAGCAGCCACCTCAATAAGGTTGTGACTCTTTTCCTGGCGTGCCACTGACCCATTAATTCTCCTTTTGCCTGCCAACTTTCCTCCGTCCCCAACTCCTTGCCATGGCTCGTCCTTCTCCAGCCCATTTTCAGCCTCACCAAGGCTTATGTCAACCCCATCTTCCAAGGGCTCTGGGGTGCATGGTGGTGGAGGAGGCAGGGGGAGAGTAAGTAGGGTTCGCTCCTGGGTGGAGGATAAAGGTGCTGATGTTTGGGGTGACAAGGAGGACTCCGCTTTAAGGCAGTGGACATCTGCCTCTACTTCTACACGGCTCCCATTGGAAAAAACACCTGCAATGGGTTCCTCATCCTCGCTGTCTAACCCGTTGTCAGACAGGGCACTGGAGAAGGTGGCACTAGACAGCTGCCTCTGGAAGGAGCCTGCTAAACAGGCAGGATGGAGCGCACAGCAACTGCGGGCAGAAGGCAGATCTGAACCTGGGAACAGCGACTGGCAGGGCTGTGTGGTTGTATGGGCCTGCTGGTGCTGTAAGGCCAGTGAGTGGGCCTGATGGTGCATGTGGAGGTGAGCATGATGGGGCTGCTCATGCAGCAGCACCAAGGAGCTCTGCAGTGGCTCATCAGATGAGGCTGTGGAGCCCACCTCGCTGCTCATCTCGCTGGTGCTGATCTCACTGCTGATTTCACTGCAGGAGGAAGGGGGTACAGGAAGGGAGCCATCCGAGGGCCGTTCCTTGATGGCAGAGGACGATGGGGGATAGGGGCCCAAGCCAGGGCTTGGAGGTGGATGGGGAGGCTCAGAGCAGCAGCAGGAGCAGCAGTCTTCGCTCACACTGAGCTGGACTACAACAGCGCTGAGGCTGTCGGTGCAGCCATAGCCCTGTGCCAGTGTGCACAGCTTCTTAGCAGCAGCTAGGCCATCAGGGACGTTTCGAACAGCCTCAACCGCTTCAATGGGAGACACAGCATCCCACAAGCCCCGGCTCCCCAGAATGAAAAACTCATCCTGGGCCGTGAGAGTGACTGTCTGCACATGGGGACAAGGGATTACAGATGGGTAAAGGAAGGAGTAGCCCATGATTCGCGTAGAATCGGTCACACCGTTCACCTTGTTGTCCTGTGGACAAAAAAAGAGGAAAAAAAAAATCACTACAGGAACTATGCAACACCCCTAAAATTACATTACCACCACTGCACTCTACATTGATTTCAATATACATAGGGTGTTTTTAAGCATCTACCTCAGTGATGATAGCCCTGTGTCGCCGGATCCTGTGGTACTCCTCCTCTAGTCCTACATTATGAAGCACTGATAAGGGTAATGGTTTTCCATCCCGGCACAGGATGGCCTGGCATTTGCCCACATTAGCAGCTGTAAGGGTGAAGCAGCCTCCGGGGTCGGTGGGATCATGGCGAATGTGACACAGAGCTGCTGAGCCACCTAGTTTCTGACCTGCTGTTCCAAGTTTTCTGCAAGATCAGAAGGAAGATGACATAGGAAGAGGGGGTTCAGTTGTGCACATTAGAATTTTTGTTATTGAATTTCAATTCAGTTTTATTTAACACCAATTCACAACAAAAATCATCTCAGCACACATTACAGAGTAAAGTCAAGACCTATTATTGAGAGTAGCTCAACAATCAAGCACTTGGCGGCAGTGGGGGAAAAACTCCTTTAAAGGACGAAACCTCCAAAACAGTAAAAGCCTTTTGAACTGATCCTATACCTTTGCATGACAAGGAAGGTGTTGGTCATATAGTCCTCCTTGCTCTTGGTCTTGTGTAGTTCTTCAGCCAACACATCATTCATTGTGCACTGCAAAAGGTAGGGCACCTCCACGTTTCTGTCCCCATCAAATACGCCGTACAGAGCTTCACGACTCCCACAGAAACTGTTTACTGAAAGAGCTGCAACGCACAGTCTGAAAAGCAAACGAACAAAAGGCCATAATGTCACTAAGGCAGAAACAGTGAGGGCTTCAAAGATATAATAACTCCTCTGTTCATATACCAATCATGCTACTCCACACACTAATAACCATGGAAACAATACTTTCTATGATTCAACTGTCTGTCATCAGCACATGCCGACTGAACATCATTCACATACTATAAATGGAAATGATATGTGCAATTGCCTGAATCATTTAGCATGCACATTAAATGATTGAATTGGCAATTTAGTCCATACAAAGATGTTTTGGCATGTGAATACATGATTCCAATAGGCACCGCTTCAGTATTTTCTTCATTTGAGTCATCTGGCTTTGACAATACTTAGCCTCAAGAGGTTTGGATTAGTGAGGCTTCACCGGACGAGTGTGATGGCGGTTGTTTTTTTTTCATCAACTGAAATGAACTCACTTGTTCTTGACGCCCGAGGCCTCTGTGTAGCCGTGACTCCACACAGCAGGTCCACCAGATGCCTCATTCGACGAAAAGGTTGGAGGCGGATCAATGCGGAAGCAGCGAATATTACTGAAAAAAGAAACAAAAAATGAAAAAGATCAAATACCCTGTATGATGTGGAGGCATAAAGATACATAAACCACTGAGAGGATTCAAATCTGGTTATTTCCAAGAGATGTTAAATGGGAAAATTAAACATGAAAATAAAAAAAATCTAATATACCACATGCAAAATGTAAGTTGCAGTCATACTAACAGGTCTACTGAAGTCCCATATAAAGCAGGAAAAAACAAAGCAAATACATACTTGAGCTGCTCAAGGGTCTTGTGGTCCAGGTTGAGACGAGGGTTTCCAGTCAGGTCCAGCTCCTGAAGCTTGGGAGGCAGATTCTCTGGTAGTGTGATCTCACTCAGCTCATTACAGCTCAGATCCACACACTGACAACAAAGAATAACAGGTCAGTACACTAGAGTGTGGATACCTGGCCCGCACCAGACAGAAATTTAGAAGTTATGTTCGGGTCTGGGTCGGGTTCCGACACATCGTTTACACCTTAGGCTAGACAGCTGGAGTGCTCAAATGTCTCCTTTGTTTAATGAGAAGGAGAAAAAAAACTGTATAAACTAAACTGCGTCGGGTTCAGATGCCACACTCTTGGGCACAGGTTGGGTTCAGACATAAATATGCGGTCCGATCCATGCTCTAGTCTGTACTCATTCAAATGCATATACGGTTCACAGAGATATGGCTCTTACTACTGCCTTACTTTCATCTCCATCAGCTGCATGACCTCAGGAAACACCTCGATGGCGTTGGAGTGGGCAATGAGCGTGTGCATTCTTCTGCAGTTCATGATAGTGGTGGGTACAGTCTTCAGCATGTTTCCACTCAAGTCCACCTCCTCCAGCTCCTCCAACTTGGCCATTTTACTAAGGGATAAGGAAGAGCAATAGGTGAGCTGATATAGGTAAAGTGATAGTGCTGCTGCTTCTAGTGCTGCTTCCACTTTTTCCACCATTAAAAGGTTTTTTTGGGGGTGGGGGGTTGCATGCTTATGTACCTTAATGTGAGGTTGGTGTGGAATGTGACTCTAGACCGGTTGGGAACCACTGATTTGTCACCTCACATTTTAAAAGTGAGGCTTTGTTGTGCTTCTCTTTCTTTATTATTTCTGTAAATGGCATCTCTTTAGGTTTTAGACTGTTAGACAAACAAAAGAATCTCAGAAACTGTGTTTGGGGTGGTTTTTTCATTGTTTTTATACATTTCACAGACAAAATGATTAATAAAAATGACTGATTACAGAAAAGTAATCATTAGCTCCTCCCCTAGTGTGAGTAGAGTGAGAGTGAACTGTCAGTCTAAAATGTGACATCGTTACCTTGCTGGGAAGGTCTGGAGATGGTTATAGGCCATGTGCAAAACTCGAAGGTGTGTGTGGCCTGTCAGCATTGGCACACACTTGTCTGTCAGATGGTTATTGGTCAGGTAGAGTTCCTGCAAGATGCTGTGGCTCTCCTCTGATAGGCTGGATGGAGGCAGGTGCTCTAGCTTATTGGCTGATGCATTTACACATCGCAAACTGAAAGTACAAATTATAATGTTCAGATTCAGTTTTGTTTACTTTCAGACAGGGAGATAAAAAGGTGAGATGAGTTACTTTAATTAGAAACTTCCACATGAATTCCTACTACTGGTTGTTTTTTTTTGGCCTTCATCCTTGCCCTTGGATGTCCTTTCCTTGATTAAAAAATACTCATGCATATTCTATTAATAATGTCTGTCCTCCATATACATAAAACCCCCAAAACAAATCATTTCCTGCTTATGATTAATGCCACCTGTCAGATTTGAGGAAGAGGTTACAGGGCAGCTCCACCAATTGATTGTGCTGTACATCCAAAACCTCCAGCAGAGGGCGCTCCACTCTTTCAGGCAGCTTCTGCAACTGGTTATGTCCTGCACTCAGCTTCCTCAAACTGTTGCTGCATAACAACCTGCAGCATGAAGAATAAACAGATGGCTGGTTCAGAACGAGAACATCGAACCTATGGACATATGTAGATAGATGACATGGCTGGTGAACAGGCTACATGTCTATTCTACACAAGTGGATCATGAAAGAGTGAAATACTACTGGAAATGAGGATAGTGCTGCAGGAGGATGGGGGGTGAGGACAAGGATGTGAAAGCAGAAAATAGCAGCGTCTCTAGAGAAGCCTACAGCTGAAATTCATCATCCTGACACTTATTGGGTAAAAAATAAATGCAGACAATGAAGGGACCAGAGGAAGAGAGAGAGAGAAAAAGGACAAGACAAATGAAAAGAGAAGCAGAGGGAAGAAGGCTGATGAGAGAATGAGTTGGATCTGAGGTGACCGGACAAAGGCTGTTGCAAGCTATCTGTGTGATTTATGAGGCCCTATAGGGGATAGATTACTGGCGACAAAGGGCAGGGAGGAAGGATAATGCTGCACTGTACTCCATTTACAGAGGTACAGATGCACTGGCTGAGACTCACCGTGCCGGAAGCTCGGCGATGTGGTTGTGGCTCACATCCAGAACTTCCAGTTTCTTTGCTTCATACAGCCAGTCTGGCACAGACTCCATACGGTTCCTGGGAGGGGGTGATTATAAAAATAAATTATGTGCAGCTTAAGTTAGATATCTAAAATGGAATACAATGTACTGACATGCTGCTTGTATTTGAATTCCCACCAGTCCTGCTCTAGAAAAGCAAAGCTCTGGATGTAAATTGGCCCTTTTCCCCATTATCTGTAATATTACTGATTCAGTTTCTCAGGTAACTGAAGTCTGAGCTGTGTTGTGTTTGAGACAAAAAAAAAAAAGGAAATAATTCTCTCATGTGTCCCTCGTGTCAAGTGTAACAGTCTTTCAAGGCTAAAGTGGGAAAAAAAGATGGAATGCTTTTTAATGATCACAAAAAGGCAAAGTACAAAAGTCCATCTTTCACTTATGAATCGTGTTATGCCACAGGTCTGAGCTGACACGCTTAAGTTCACATTACACCACACTTTTCAAAGGCCTTGTTACAAGACCTTTAAAGCAAACATTCTCACAGTGAACAAGCACTACTGCTCCTGCAGCGCACAGATGATGTACTGTAAAAGGGCTACATTTTCAAAATGCTTTACCTATTAGTGCTGCATTCCTTTTTTTGTTGTGTGTGTACTTTTGGGATTTTTTTTTCTTACCTTGAGATATCCATATAACTAAGATTGCAGGGCACAGGACTGACATCCAGTTGTCGTAGCTCTGTAGAGAGAAATCCAAACACATTAACCTACAGCAAGGATGGACACGCCTAATACAAATGCAAGTAAATGATAGAAAATGGAGGGACGTGTTCGGGAGGGGGTGGTAATGAAAAGTTAGAAAGGAATGATGGAGAGAGACAGAGACTGCAGCACTAAGGACAAAAATGAATGCATGATGGATATAGAAGAGCATCAGGGGAAATAGTAATATAGGAAAAGGGGGGGGGGGTTACGGTATGTGTTAGAGGTTCAGAAAAATGTCAGTAATTTCAAATTAGAAACTAGTGATGTGGTGGTCATGTGAGAAGGAAGAGGATACGTCTTTTTTAACCACCCATGATTGCCCTCGCAGAGAACACAAAGTCCTGCATGCTAAACCCACCGTTGTTGGAGGCGTAGATGCCTTTGAGCAAGCAACCCTTGGCCCTGAGGCTGGCAATGCGGTTTCTCTCGCAGTGAAGCACCTCTAGCCTGGGGAAGACTGAGGCGTCCATGTCCGTCAGCCTGTTATCCCTTACGTCCAGCTGTGTCACATGCCTCAGCAGGTCAGGCTCATCTGGTACCATGCTAGAGATCTTATTCAACCTGACAGAGGCAGCAGAGAGGAGGCAAAGGTTCAGCTCCAGTTGACTCAGGTTGAAGTGTGCAGACTGTGGCCTTTCATGCAAGGCAATGAACATGCCTTGGGTAGTGGCTGACATAGTAGTACTCTGTTATTCTGTGTGCAAGACTGATTCAAGTGACTTTTGATTTTTTTTAAAGGCAGTGTTGGTGATTCATTTCAGAAGCAGTTCGTTACATTTCTTGTATTTTTCTTTTCATTCCAATGGCAAAGAATACATTAAATGCAATGATAACACTGTGGCAGCAGCAGGACTGAAATAAAGCCTCACCAATAATTTTACTCGGTCTGAGCAAAACCAATAGATGGCCTAGACGGCCCTGTCAACCTTTGTTCCTACTTGCGCGCACTCTGCCCTTGCACTCATTGCACGAGCCAAGAGTTTCCCACAAGGCCAGGCAGGCAGACATGTTACCGCTGTGTTTTTATAGCTAAAGCTAGCGAGATACAGCAGAGAAGGTACCCACAGCAGCTTTTGATCACAACCAGAGATTGTATTCAGCAAAGCAACAACTAAAAAGAAGTTGGATGCTGCAAGAATTAAAACCAGAGCTAACACTGGTGTGGATTTGAACGATGGCGAAAACTGAAAGGGGCTGAAGAGTGAGGCCATGGTGGCTGAATTTCTGATGGACAGGTAATTAGCAGTTTTGTTGATATTACATTTAATTATCCTACTTTGGTTTACTTTTAAAAATGCCCATTACAATTTCCTAAATTAAAAAAGATGACTGCTTGCAAGAGCCTTTTGGTCCAACAAACTGTCCAAATCTGGGAAAAACACCAAAGCTTCACAAGTCAGAAGCTTGGCAAACTTGAAAAATGTTTAACACATGACCAGCAACTCACTGATTAACAAATGTTTTATCACTGGGAATAATTCTAAAAAATTATGTTTAAATAAAGTCACAAAGGGTGAAGTATTAACTGGAAAATAGTGCAAGTCATTCTAGCTCCGTGCTTTTCCAAACAATGGGAAGACACCTGATAGAGCGATCACAGGCTAATGATTTCCCGATTTCAACCGGGTCCGGCTGTCTGCTAGTGTTTTGCTTTTCTCTCAGTGTTTCCATCATTAGTGAGCTAACATGTGTCACTGAGCTTACAGCTTGAGGCAAGCATGGCTGGGATTAAAGTGCTGCTAGTTCATGACAAAGCTGCCAAAAATTAATAAAAAAAACCCCTATCATAATCTCATAATAATGATTTGTTAAAATATTTGAAATAATGTGTCTGTATTGCTTGTCTGTACCTTAGATCGATGTGTTTGACACGAAGTAGCCTGAAATTCTGCAGCGTGAGTGTTTCTAGGTTGTTGCCGGCCATGCACAGCTTCTCCATGGAGGCCAACCGCTCCAGAACCTGGGGCACATGGTTAAATTGGTTGAACGAAAGGCCCAAGTAACTCAGCCTCTGAAGGGAACCCAGCTCGTTGGGAAGCTCTTCTAGACTGTTTCCGTCCAACAGGAATGTCTGCAAACTGAAAGAGGAAAATGAGATTAGACCGATGACCTCGTTCATCAAAGACAGAATGTTGTTTTAGATTTTACTTTATTTGCACAGAGAGTATAGCTCAGGATCGGTGGTGGTGGGCCAACTAGGATTTACTTTGAGCATTCATAATCAGTACACTTAATATCCAGCAGATGGCAGTAGCAGCATAACTGCGTTAGTGGCCACTTCAGGAATTTACAGACATACCAGATCATTCCTGCAGATTAACTTCGCATATGAGTCTGTATTGACCCACATACCTGTACATTTATTTTCGAATGAGGGTTCAGTTTGAAATATGTCCTCTACAAGCTGCCAGTACTATCATGTAGTGTTATGAGGGGAAAGTTGCCAAGTTTAAGGCCCTTATTTTATGTATTTATATTATAAATATTTAGCATTTTCTGATGCTGCTCTATAGAATGAGTAACAGGGTTTTTCCACAGGTAAGAGGGTTGATACTAGAGCTCAACCAAAACATAAAACATTCTTAGTGTTCCCATGAGGAAAAATAAGGTATTCAGCAGTTAAAATCAGGTTTGTTGCATCCTCTGTCATATTTGGGGGAAGAGTAACACTGTCATCAAGTAAACCCAAGATCATTTTAGAACCACAAGAACCAAGTGGCATAAATCATTTTAATATAAATAGATAGATGGATAGATAGACTAAAACATACTAAAAATATACTGTAATGTAGTCCTCAAGAGTAATGCAAGAAGCTTGTAAAGAAATAAGATGAGGTGTGTACCAAAAAGAACATCACTAAGCCTGGATTCTCCACAAATTAGCTCAACAGCAAGCTGGATAATTTACTTGACAAGCTTTAAAATGACAATACAGAACACACACACACACACACACACACACACACACACACACAAAGGGAGAGGAGTGAATTTTGACTTGTGGAGACTAAAAAACAAACAGACCAGGGCCAGGCCATGACTGAGGGAAACGTTGGGACGATCAGTGCAAGTGGTGTCGTTTGCTTATATGCTGAAACTAGCCAAGTACATGATCCTGGTGGTTATGCCATGTACTTGTTGCTAAGTAACTCTCACATTTGGCTATGTAAACTTTTGACAATCAAACCAGCAAAATGTGGCTGCCTGTGAAAAGGTTTACTAGTTTTCAAGCCCTGAGATGGCATCAATACATGCATGCATTGGCCTCATGTCAGCAGTAAACGCCTAGTGCAAAAATGAAAGCTTGGGCAAACACCTATCCCACATGCAGCCAACAGTAGGGAGAGGTTAGGTAAACACAAAAACCCCTCAGAATCAGTAGTGAAGTAACTAACCAAAGCATGATCAGATAAAGTGTATTTAGAATAGGGCTACAATATGAATAACCTTCAGCTTCAATATTCAGCATCGTGCAGCCTATATGTACGGTAGTCTGTATCACTAACTTGGTCATGGCTCCAACAGAGCTGGGGACAGAGGCCAGGTAGTTACAGCTGAGGTTGACCTCTGTCAGGGTAGGGATGTCGCAGATGGCCAGGGGGAACTGACCAAGATGGTTATTAGACAGGTTGAGGCTCCGCAGACGAGAAAACCTGCAACAAGAGAGAAGAGAAGGCAATGCAGCAAATTTTAGCTTACACAGAATTTGTTAACAAAAAATAAATAAAACTGATTCAACACATGAACCCATGAACAAAACCTTCCCTAATAAGACTAAACCTTCACATTTGATTGTTGAGCAAATAAGTGTCCATTTAAACACCAGTGACCAGCGGCATTTGGCTTTGTGTCCATGGCAGAAGGGTGACCGGGGATAAGCCACTCAGGGAGATGAAGCCAAGTGATCATTTATCCATCTACACACATATCGACACACACAGGCCACCTGCTATCACCTATCGTGCACAGATAGAGCAGCTATGGCAAGCCTTAGACAGGCAGTGCACATGTTAGCATTGCAGGCTGGAGCAGCTGCTTCAACTGGGACTACTTGATGTTGCTCTATGTACACACACAGGTTACACACACACACACACACACACACACACACACGCATGCATGCATACAGTGTATCACATGATAGTGGAAAAGGCAACAGAGACATCGGGGCTATTGCCTGTTAGGGTGGCCAAGAAATTCCATCTGAGGGTGATTCCTGTGGGCAGTGGGTGGACTCCTGCACTACTTCCCATGTGTATTTACAGCTGCGATTTCATTTTTAACAATTATCTCCAAATATACCATTTCCCGCTCACTGTTTTAGACCACCTCCGTTATCGTGCACCTTAACAGAGCTGATAAACCTAGCGTACATTATCTGCCCAGTACCAAACAACAAAAAGACAAAGTTAGCAATTAGCTGGTGAACACAGTGAAGCATTTCACAGCTAACTATCCTGATGTTTTTCCTCAGCTGTTGCTGAAGAGTAAACAAATGGGAGAGTTAATATTGGTTTTGTATTCATTAGGTGAACAGGAACACAACTCTGAGCTAGTGCTAATGTGTAAATAAGCAACTGCTTGCCAACACTTTAGCCATATCACATTTTTAATGCTACTAATACAGTACTGTCTGTTCCTTTCTCCTTTACTTTATTGAAATTAAGTTTGTTCTTTTAGATTAACTACTGTTTTTAAGTATAGTCTGTGGGCTAAGGTGTTTTTTTCTGTCCTTCCCTTTCTGTCTTCTCCATTTCTTTTATGTTTTTAATTACAATTATTATTATGTACAGCACTTAGGCCAACTGTTGTTGATTTTTAAATAAACTAATACTGACAATACTGTTTTTAGCTTCTTCTGCTGCCCCCAAGTGGCCAAAACAATCAATCATTATCTGATTGTTTTGGCCACTTGCATTAATTATTAATGCAACATAAATCCTTTCACTTGGACTTAAGTACCCCCCTTTGAACTCACTTCTTTCTGCCAGCATTCTGTCCCACATTCCTCCCTGTCCCTTCATTTCCATCACTTTTATGTCCTTAATAACTAAAATATGAGCCAAAAGTTCAGTTATATGCAAGGAACATCAGCCATTCCCCTCAGCAAGCAGTGGCCCCTGCTTCAGAGAGAAACACATGGCAGGAAGGCCAGTGCCATAAACAAAGAGCTAGTATTCCGGACAAATGATCACGCATATCTGATTGGCAATGCACCCACAAGTCAATATTTGGCCAGAGAGAAAAGAAGGAAGGGGAGAAGCCTATGGCAGGTTCACACATTCCATTCCTCTTGGAAAAAGACAAAACATTATGACCCCACGTTAGGTGTCAAGAACAGCCTTCTTTATAGTGAAACAAAAACAGGCACATATACAGCTGTCAACACCAAAACACATTCATATGGCTGCACACAGAGTATTACTGTTCTTGACTTCAGCTCTTTTGACTTCAGTCTCTCAAGGGGAAAAGAAAGCAGTCAGGCAACTCTGCTAAAAGTTTCTGTCCAAAAACTTTTTTCAGCTAACTATTTATCTCTTTCTCATTACTGAATTATTTTTTCATGCTGGATCAAATGTGGGTGAGCCATACTTAGGTCTGGCAAAGCTAAATGGATATTATGCTTCACCAGCAGGGGAGCTGTGCACGCCTCGCTTAGAATTGAGCTTCACATCATCTTTTTTTTTTTTATGTCAGCAGTCATTATCCTGAGGATTTAAGGGGAGGGGGGAGAAAGACAGTGACTACTGCGAAGCACTATAAAATCCTGAGCTTATATAATTTTCAGGAAGACACACAAGCATGCAAAAGAAACCTGCACAGCCACAAACACACTCCTGTTGGTGTAGTGATCTTAAAAAAAAAAATAAACTACACAAAATACCATATTGTATTAAAACATTGTACGCACTGACCCCAGATTTGTAGCCTGCAGCCTCTTCTTCTGTTGCATACAGTACAATAAAGCAACTCTCACTCTCTCTCATACATAGAGGCTCCATTCTTCATACACACACAAAAACATCAGATTCCCACAATCCACTCTGTTAAACTAAAAAAAAAAACCTTCGGAGATCTTCAGCGTAGCTGTGATAGTTATGCATGTATACCAGTGTGTACATAAATGTAAATTCATGCTGCATACACACACATAGGTCTTAGATGTGGGCTTTAATCTGGGACCGTGATAAGCATGCAGCAGATGGTGCCCACAGAGACGGAGAGCGAAGGAGGCCAGGCACATTAAAAGCCTCCCTGCAGACATATCTTCCCTTCTGGGCTCTGGGCTTGTTTGGCTTAGCCTGCTACAACACAGTCCTGGCTAGCCTCTACGGACCCCTTACGCCAATGGTCCCAGTACTAGACTGCTCAGGCCGATGGCTTGCAAATTGCAGGCAAAGCAGCCAGTCCTGACCTGCTGCGTCCATTGAAGCCTCACTGTGTCTGTCTCTCCTTTCCTTGTACAATAGCCCATCCCATTTCCTTTTGCTGCCTAATTATGTTAAGCTTTGCTAAACCTTCTCGAGTCTCGTCTTGCTCAAACCAGCCCATCCACACCACCCTGCACTGTCTACCTGTAATGCCTTCTCAAGTCCATCCTCTCTTTTCTTATCTTTCACTTCTTCCTGCCTCTCCCTCTCCTTATAGTTTAGCCTCAGGTGTGTTTGCTGTGAATTTCCAGTGGCCCTGTACCTCTGCAGCTGCTGCAGCTGCTGGTCTGCAGGCAGGAAGTTGTGTTTGAGGTTAAGGTGGGTGAGATCATGGCTGTAAAAGAGGTTGGGAGGAAGTTGCTCCAGGCTGCAGCAGGACAGATCAACTGAGTTGATTCTCTGGGACACCATCTAGATGGAGGTGGGGAGGAAAGCAAAAAAGAGTGGAGAGGGGAGAGAGAAGACAGAAAAAGAAAATTATCTCTTGTGCACAAGATTACCGACTTACTGTTTATGTGTGTAGCCTGCTGCATGCTAAGAGGTCAAATGCCATATGATGGCTAATCTTCTTGGGATTAAAGGGTCAGAAGTCAAGAGAAATTCCTAATGACCTAATATCACACATGTAATCTAGTTAACCAAATTTACAAAACAGAAAGCGTGACCCCAAATAAAATGACAGAAACATCCAGTCTGTGAACTTGAGCCTTTGAGAGCAGAGTTAGCTAGAGGCTCAGCAGTGTTCCTTGTGGCACGTGCTGCTTCTATCCAGGCTTCTATTCTGAGTGGCCCTCTGGGTGCTGGTGACATGCATGTCCCTGTTAATATTTAGAAAAGAGGTTTTCTGGCTATGGCCTACTTGAGTTCAAATAAGAGAAAGGAGAGAGGGTCATGAGTGGTGTTTGTGTGTGTGAGTGCACTCAGAGACACTCGCGTTATATAGTACAGTTTGGGCAGCGGTGAAATGTGCAGCTTTCAATCCACTCAGCTTATACGCGCAGTGGGTATAGTGCCATATTTCAATACATCAACTTGCAGTTGCACATGGTCTGATATACAATGCAGCTGAGCCATGAGCAGTGCCAGGGAGCATCTGCCTATGTTCTCCTTTTCTTTCTGTAACTCTGATGCACATGCACATTACCTTGGCAGCGTGTCTGTGCCAGCGCAGGTGCTCCGTGAAGCTGTCAAAGCTGACGTAGTAGGTTTGACTCTGAGGCCCTGCCGAGCTGAAGGCTAAACAGTGATTGTGCTTCTTCACCTCTTCTACCTGCAGCACAGCACACACACAGGAGTGACATTAGGGTCTGAAATTCTGACATCTCTGGCCCACCTCTGAATACAAATGATAAACCCATGCCCATAGAGCTGGACGCTAAAAGAAAAGAAAGCAGAGAGGAAAAGCTGACAGACATCTCACTAGATTAATCCTTATTTGAAGCAGCTTCTGTTGAAGCTCATAACTATAAATGACTGTAGGGCAGACAAATTTAGTCAACCAGAAGACGCATGGTGATGTAATGAAGGCCTGTGATGTGAGAGATAATATGCATGTGCTTTTTAGAGTCACACAAAGTCACGCACACAAGCACATGGACTCTGAATGAATGGCTGACTATGCATACTGGCACACATACACACATATCCACCACATACAGGTACAAGCAGCAGCACTAATGTGGTTCAAGGGTTGACTAGAAATGTTTGTTGTTAAGAAATGTTTAAAAACTGGGCGTGGTATGGAGTGTCAGGTAGACAAGTATAAACGGCTTTTCAGAAGCGCCCTTAGAGCTTATTTACTGACCTTGCACATACACAGACCCATAAAGTAATAAACAGCTATAAAGAAGCGGCTTAAAAAACGTGCAGAGAGCAATGAGGTTACTCAAATGCTATAGTCATTCATCACGTTAAACATTATAGCATACATTTGAAAATGATCCGAAACATCCCTGCAGAATGCCATAAACATTTAGACTTTGTAAAATCTGGTTTGGACCATTTCTGTTTGACGTCGAGTTGAAATGAACAAAGCACAAAGTATTACTGGAGGTCAACCTAAAGGACAAACAGCTAGTGAAGATAAAATGTCATTGAGGACAAACTTCACCGCACAGGGAGACATTTGCATATCACTCTCCAGTGATATGACATTATGAATTTATGATCCAAAAAAAAAAAAAAAAAAATGCATATCACTACTATGCAAGTCCAGAGTGAGGGCTTAAAAGGACTATGTGTACATCTCATGTCTCTTATAAAATCATTCCTACATCCTTGGTCCTCAGCCTAGAAGTCGCTCCAGTCAACCAAGGACGTAGGACATTCTTATATCGGCTCTGAGAAGTGAGGACCGAGGATGGTACTGGACGAACCATGACCGAGGATACATGAGACCATCCTTCGCAGAGGTTTTTTGTGAACTGACATGCCCCTTTATCAGAAATCAGTTGGTGATTGGACATTTCAGATGAAGGATGTGAGGAAAGGACATATCTTGTTGTTAATAACATGTTTCCTTGAGTCCTTTCTCCTCCCATTTCCCTCAAATCTTACGTGGCTGGGACTAAGACAAGGAAAAGATGCAAGTGAGGGCAACGACAGTGTTTATAAGAGACTTGGGATGTTATCTATGTGATGGCATGCCAGCTCAGTTGTGGTTCAACTCTTACGTACTTTTCCTCCAATGAGCGGCAGGATGTGCATCTTCCCTGTTTGGCTCTCTTTGACAGAGGAGACGATGAGACAGGTGCCGCACAGGATGACCTGCCGTCTGGTCCAGCGGTTCACTGGTAGCTGGAGCTTCCCTTTCCGAACGTTGTACATCCCTGACAGCTGGACCCTCTCTGAGCTCTCAGTGCTTTGGGGCTTCCCTGGAACAAAAAAAAAAAAAAGAGAGATATGGCGTAGTTAGCAGCACTGTAGCTGTGGCCCTGACATACCACAACTAAAGAAAATCAGTTTAATAAAATAGCAGAATATGATCACGAGTGTCTAAATTTCTTGACATTCCATCCATTAGTTGAGACATTTTACAAAAAAAAATGTCAGTGTCATTACAATGCCATAAAAAACTCACCAAGGTCATTTGGGTACATATCATATCAGCCACGAGTGTCTGTACAACATTTTGTGGCAACCAAATGAGCGGATTAAAAAACAAAAACGTCATGGTGGCAATGGAGGAAAAGTAGAGGGATCACCAAAATCAGTGACTGTCTGGAGATGAGGAATGTCTGTACACAATTTCATGACAATCCATCAAGTAAATGTTGAGCTATCGGAGCGCCACTATATTTCCTTTCACTGCAGATATACATTCATCCGTTTTGAATTTAATACCAGGTGCATCTCTTCTAAATGATGCTGGCCAGTTTCTGAGCTGCCTTTATTGAGTTTTACCCATCTGTCTGTCTCTCCTGCAAGCCCTGTTCTCTCGCCTCACCTCCAGCCTGTCAAACCTGACAGTCAAGCTGCTTATCAGGCGTTCTGTCAGCCAGGATTTCTTATCATTCTGTCTAAACATCCACCTGCTTTCTGTCTACTTCCGCCTCCGCAAAAAACCTACCCAGGCTGGCGTGTGCTGCTGTCCTCCCCCCTGTCGTTTCTCTATCTGTCCAGCTGCCTGGCTTTCAGTTTCTCCATTCTATCTATACTTTTGTGTGTGTGTTTTCACAGCATGCTTTAACCTCACTGTTTTCCCATTCCATCTAGAGATTCATGAATTGGTTTATGAAGTTTTCCTTTCCAAGCGGCAGATGGCCTTAGAAAATATCTCTCATCCTGTGGCCTGCTGTAAACTAGCTGCACCCCTCTTGCGCTCTCTTTCACACATATTTCACATCATTTCAAACACACTGAGTGAAGCAGAGGGGGTGGAGGCGAGTTAAAGAGAGGAAGAAAGAGTCAGTAGAGTAAGGAAGTGCAAACTTGCATACGCTCTTGGGGCTTTAAATAAGTCAGGTCTTTCTCACGCTGACTGTAAAGCTAATGCAGTAGAGTACTGCCCACCGTTCTCATCCAACACAGCAGCAGAGATGAATAACATTCTGACCGGAGGTCTGTTTATTTGAGCTGATGTGATTCAACCTGCTACCACGACAATTTTATTCTAATGATTTTCATCCACAGCTAAATTGGCCTTGTCCAAGAGGAAGAGTTTTATACCAACTGGCAATCTTTTTTTTTTTTTTGGTCAGCACAGTCACAGACTCCTGACCTCTCCTCTGTTAATCTTGTGTTACCAGCTGAATCAATAGTCTAGTTTACAAAAGGATATCTGCTTTGACTAAATGCTAAGTGTGTAGCATAATAGATTATTGTTGAATGCGACCTGTCCTGATACACTTAAACAGCAGAGACTACATTCATAACTAGAGGGCATGCAGCAAAGCACAAACCTTGGAAAAACACTGCACATAGTGCAGATGTGCAGCCTGTACAACAGTTTACGTTCTTAGTGTTCATCTTACTAATTTGGTTGTCTGGTTAAAAACAAAAGGTGTGAGTACAATGCTGTTTCCCTCACATATCAGATACACACAACAGCACGCATAACATACAACTGCAATCCTAGCAAACTTGTCCATATGGAACGGCAAAAGAAATTACATGCAACAATGTAGCATGTGTACAACTGCTCCAACACGTGGGTAGTTATTGAGATAAAGGCATGTGTCTTACTGCATTAAATGAAGGGCTATTTACAAACTGATCTCAAAGCAATGGCAACTTAAATATGGTCCTGTACCTGCAATGCAGTTCATACCTTGCGCAGACCACTGTATATGGCCATTTAAGTGACATAAAAGCACATTCTCATAATTTCTCTCCATATTCTGGCAGCTTTGACTTCACAGCAGTAATCAAAAGCCGGCAACCATAATCTAGAGATACTGTAAGTATGGATAAATACTTTTTAATGAGGTGTCTGGATATGAGAGACATCTGTAATGGCTGAAATTCTTTCTTATACTGTACTTACAGATTAATGAATAACATACTGACAAAGTCCCAGGTGGGATGACATTCTTATCAGATTCACCTACATATCTGAATAAAAGGCTAATTAGATTTGCACTTTACAAATAATGCCTGATGAAAACCTCCACAGACATCTTTAGCTGTGTAGTGTACATGAAATTATAATCTTTACTGTCCCAGCCACTCTTTAAATTGGAACAGACTCCTTGAGGCAAATGTGTGATTTATGATATTGGGCTATAGAAATAAAATATGGCTTGACTTGAACGAAGAATTAAGTTTAGTTCAGTTGTAGCACTTTAAATTTTAATTTGTTGCAAATTTCAAAACAAATGTGTTTAATAAAAACTACAGCATCTCAACTTATGACTTTTAGGAAAAATTATATGATATTAACGGCTACGTCTAAGGATGGATGAAGTGGTACTTTATCTATGCTTTGTTTCTGATAATAAAAATGATAGTAGGAGGTTGAAGCTGTTGAATCGACAAACTTTGGATCACTTATTTTTTCAGAATTCGTCCCTGGATGTGTTGTTGTTTGTCCCTTCTCTATTCTGATCCCACTGGTCTCACTGGTGATTTCCACACTCATTTAATTGTACTTCTGAAGCAAGTGGAGTGTGCAGGAAATGAATGAAACTGCGGGTTTTATCTCTCATTAAAGGGTCATCATTACCATCCACTCTACAAGAAACACTATTAAATGACTTGGCATGTGTGTTATTGTTAGTATGTGGACACAGTGGAATAGGTGCTAGCTGGAAGCAATATGCCAAATATTTTGTGGTATATAGTTTTAGGAAGAAGATAAAGTGGAGGAAATACTGTAGCTTAAAGCAACACTTACACAAATGTTGTGTAATTGTCATAATTTTGAAAATTATCCCGATCGCTTACGGTATAATGACATTTCATGCACCAACATCATTACTGATGTAAGGAAACATGTCAGGTTGCCAAGAAAAAGGCACCACATGGGATCTACTCAATCACCACATGACCTCAGCGACTGGACCGGTTTGAAGATAAATTATATCACTTTGTGGTATAGACAAATGTGTGTCCTTTTTGATTTTAATTTATAAAAAGGTTTGTCAGATAAGTGAGTTAAACTGGAGACTGAAGTTTCCTTTAAGATGAAATGTGGGGAACGGGAAGATAAGAAAGATTAGATAAGGTTTAAACTGGAGATGCAACTTTAAAAGAGAAACATTTACCAGCATGTAACTAAAGAGCTTGGCATATAACTTTAATAATAACAACACACAGCTATTACCATGTTTGTGTTAAGGTTTCTTTTGGAGAAAAACAAAAACAAAAACAAACACTTTATGGTTTTTTTGTTAAAGCCAGCTGCTAATAATATTGATGTATCTGCTAGCTTTCGACCTAAATAACAGGAAGGAATAAATGAACACAGCATGATGTTAGGATCTTAAAATGCACGGCTAAAATATGAACAAGTAATCTTTAGGCTATTGTCCACAAACTGGTGTGGCTGAACAGACTGGTTACCCCCTTCCCACTTTGAGGTAACCAGCACTGAACACTAGACAAACTATTCACAAGCTTTTAGCCTCAGTTTGTCACATGGGCATATTCCCACTATTTTTAGGCTTTTTGTTGGAGCCCACACAAGCATGTGCACAAACATACGCACCCTCCTCCTCCTCCTCTTCCCCATGCTGACACAGTGACAGTGATTAACCATCTCCATATGTACAGCCATCTAACTGTCTCCCCTGAATGTTGACGGACCAAAAACGGCAAGAGGTTTTCAGAGGGAGAACAATACAGCTTGAGTGGGCTGCTTCTGTGATAAGAGAAGTCTGAAAGCTGGTCCTAGATGGATGCCGCCATTTACAACCATCTCACAGGGATGTGAGATGACTGGATGGAAGCAAATGTTTCATTCTGTCCATGGGAATGCACAGCAGAGGAAGCAGAAAGATGGGTGTGACTCCCACGTGAGCATCCTGTTTACAGGGGTGGACCAGAGAAAGGCAAGACCTCTTGGTAACCTTGCAGCAGGTGAAGAGGGTTGCTATATTCCAACTGTAGGAACCATAGGCCACCTACCCTAGAAATATTTTGAACAGCGATGATGTTAGTCTTGGTGGTCATCCCATTATCTATGGGTAAGATGTGAATTTAATAACAATAGGGGGGCTCTGTAAGGTGGGCGTGTTCATGTGCAGTCTATTCATAGAACTACTATATGTAGTTGCAGGAGTACTACAGTGTGTGTGTGTGTGTGTGTGTGTGTGTGTGTGTGTGTGTTGGCTTCCTTCCTCTTCCCCAGGCTCAGGAAAAGAGCGTCTTCCTTCCACACTGGGCTCCAACACCCCTACCACTCAAACACAGACTAACACTAGTCAGACCAATGAACTGGGGCCTTATAATCTCACTTTCACTGGTGAAAGTTATTGCTAGAGAAACTTAAAAGGCACAATCAGCAACAAACTGCAGTAACCACACCAACAACTACATTTACGCTATTAATATTTTTAATGCTCTACTGTCTAAAAGCTGTTTAACTCAGTAATGCCTATAAACTTGAATTGATTTTTATTGAATTTTAAAGTGATGATTTTATTTCTGCAACCCAAACTACAGCTGCATGTAAATCACTTCATAAATTTGCTCTATTGGTATCAGGATGATGCAGAATACAAACATGTTTATATCTGATGAACTGTATGCAATGACAGAGCATATGAGCATGGTACCATTTCATGTTTTCCTATTTTCTCTTGCATTTCAAAGTGATAAAATTATACACTCAACACACAAGTGTACTGCTATGACAACACGTTTCCCTGTAAGAGTGGGTAACTGTTACTATGCATTTTCAGTTCAAGTCTGTCACTGTGTGCTGTTTAGAATT